TGAGAAAACTCAAGAGAAACCACAGTAGGAGCTAGCAAGTCAGACCCTATAGGTCATGGAGTTTGGGTCTTATTTTAAGTGTACCATGAAGTCAATGGAGAGTTTTCAGTGGGAACAAGATATGATCTGATGTACATTTTATTTTATTTTATTATTTTTTTTTTAAAAAAAATTTTTTTTTCAACGTTTATTTATTTTTGGGACAGAGAGAGACAGAGCATGAATGGGGGAGGGGCAGAGAGAGAGAGGGAGACACAGAATGGGAAACAGGCTCCAGGCTCTGAGCCATCAGCCCAGAGCCTGACGCGGGGCTCGAACTCCCGGACCGCGAGATCGTGACCTGGCTGAAGTCGGACACTTAACCGACTGCGCCACCCAGGCGCCCCATGATGTACATTTTAAAAGATCACTCTGGCTACAATGTGGAGAATGGACTACTGGGAAACGACAAATGACCAGAGAGACCAGTAGATATTTCCTTATCCAAGGGAGAGAAGATGGTACCTTGGACAGAGCTGCTGGAAAAAGGCTAGACAAGAACACATTGTGAAGACAGAAAAAGTGAGAAAGGGAGAGGAGGGGCAACAATCAAAGAGGTTTCTGGGTCTGTGGCTTGAACACTTGGGCAGATGGGGACAAAAACATGGGAGAGGAACAGCTTTGAGCACACAGATCCCACACACATTCCATTAGATTTATATGTAACTATTTTGGTTTGGGGAGAGGAGGGCTACTGCTAATTTATTTTTTTTATTTTATTTATGTATTTTTATTTTCATTTGAGAGAGAGAGAGAGAGAGAGAGAGCGAGCAAAGGTGGGGGGGAGGGGAGAGAATCTTAAGCAGGCTCCATGCACAGCACAAAGGGCTTTATCCCACAGCTCATGACCTGAGCCAAAATCCAGAGTCAGAAGTTCAACCCTCTGAGCCACCCAGGTATCCCTAATCTTTTATTTTCAATTATTCATTGCTAACATATATAATTTTTTTTTTTTTTTTTACATTTTGATCTTCTTTCTTATCTTGCTAAACTCAGTTATTAGTTCTAGGATTTTTTTTTTGTAGATTCCTTGAGATTTTCTATGTAAACAATCATGTCACCTATGAAGAGAGCCAGTTTTATTCCTTCCTTTCCAATTTATATTCTTGTTGTCTCTTTTTCTTGCCTCACCACACTGGCTGGGACTGTTAGGAGTGGTTCCTGATCTCTGGGGGAGAACAGTTTTTTACCATGAAGCATGATGTTTGCTGTGGGCTGTCTGTAGATGCCCCACATCCAGTTGAAGAAGTTCCCTTTTAAGCATGCTGAGAGTTTTTGTCACGAGTAGATGCTGAATCTTTGTCAGATGCTTTTTCTTCACCAATTGACATGACCATGCGGTTCCCCTTTAGACAGTGAACATGGTGGACTACATTGAGTGACTTTTGAATGCTGACCCAGCCTTCCATCTCTAGGATAAACCCCAGGTGGGCACCAAACCTGGGGAGTTTTAGCCATTATTTCTTTGAGTATCTCTTCTGCACTGCACTTTCTTCTTCTGGGACTCCAACAACAGACGGCAAACCTTCTGGTGTTGTCCCACAAGTCACTGAGGCTCTGCTCAACTTTGTAACTCTTTTCTGTTGTTCATATTGGGTAATTTCTATTGCTTTCCTTTCAAGGTCATTGATTCTTTGTTCTTCATCTCCATTTTGTTATTGAGTCCACTCAGTTTTTAAAATTTCAACTATTGCATTTTTTTTTCTTATATCTCCATTTGGTTCCTTTTTATTTCCTTTTTGGGGGGTAGTGGCTAACAGTTTCTATCTTTTTTGCATCAATACCGTTTGCCCTTATTTTGGAGAGCATTTTCATAACAGCTGCTTTAAAGGAAGTGTCTGGTTATTCCAACATCTGTGTTGAGATGTTCCTGGTTCTTCACATGATGATTAATTCTGGATTGTATCCTGGACATTTTGAATATGAGGTTATGAACATTTAGGTCTTGTTTAAATCCAGTGGAGAGGGGCGCCTGGGTGGCGCAGTCGGTTAAGCGTCCGACTTCAGCCAGGTCACGATCTCGCGGTCCGTGAGTTCGAGCCCCGCGTCAGGCTCTGGGCTGATGGCTCAGAGCCTGGAGCCTGTTTCCGATTCTCTGTCTCCCTCTCTCTCTGACCCTCCCCGGTTCATGCTCTGTCTCTCCCTGTCCCAAAAATAAATAAACGTTGAAAAAAAAAAAAATTAAAAAAAAAAAAAATCCAGTGGAGAGTGTTGACATTTTTGTTTTACCAGACTCTCAACCAGGTTGGATTTAGGTGGCAAGTTTTGACCAGCCTTCCATAGGTTATAGTTTCAATGCCAGTTCCATTTTCAAAGCCTCCTCAAGTGGGTCCTCTGTGGACACCACCCAATGTCCAGTCTAGGACTCAGTCAGCGGTCTATCCCTTGGACCACTTCTCAGAGTCTTTGGCGTTTGCTAGAATCAGATGTGTGCGTGCACAGCTCAGCGGTTAGCTGTTCATAAACAACTTTTAAGGGCTGCTTTCCTGAGCTCTTCCCTGTTTTCTCCTGGTGATTTCCAGTTCATCGGGCCTCCCCCTCTCGGACCTCTGGCTAGACAGCTGAGATCTTAGTTACTGCCTTCTCCCTCACATTTCCTGAAAGGTATCCAGATCTGGGCCCAAGCAGCAGGAAGGCGGAGGAAAAAGAGCAACCAATTTCACCCCCTGCCCCCAGCATCCTGGGATTACAGCTCCTCTGATCAGAGAGGAACATCTCCCTTTTTCAGTTTTAGGTGCTTGGCGACCCCACTGCTGTCACAGGCGGTACCACCACCACTATAGTGGGGCTGCCTGCGGTCTAAGGCACGAGGGAAAAGGGAGGAAAATAAAACCAACCTTTGGAATTTCCCCCTCTGTCTGAGTGTCAGAGCCCTGTCCCCGCCCCAGAGCCATAACTAGACGTCTTCTGGAATTCTCTCTGGCTGTCCCCTAACAGGCACTGCTGGGTTTGGGGCCTTGCATTGAGGACATGGGATACCAGAGGAAAAAATGAAAAATTCACTGCCAGCATGGTATTGCTTTTAATTCTGGTCTCTTCCCCCAATCTGCCTACTACTCTTTATATTTCAGAGTCCTCAAATAGCTGCTAAGTGCACCTGTCCAGGCCTTTAGCTGCAGCCAATGAGAGAGATTCCTGTCCATGTATCTTGTACATATATCCTGGTACATACAGACGCATCCATTTCTGTAGGGAATACAGCTACGAGAGGAAGTGCCAGCTCATGAGGTATGTGTATATTCAAATTGTGCTAGATACTACATAGTCTTTTCTAAAGGGATTGTAACCAATTTACCCTCTGACCAGTGGAGACCCAGAGTTTCCACTGTCCCACATCCTCACCAATACTGGAATATGGAGCATTTCAAGTTTTGCTACTTTGGTGGATGTGCAGTGGTATCTCAAGGTAATCCTAATTTGCCTCTCCCTAGGCAGCGATGCAACCGAACACGTTTTCATAAGTTTATCAGCCATTTGGATTTCCTCTTTCATGGAGTGCTTACTCAGGCCTTTTGCTTGTTTTGATACTGGGTTGTTTCTTTATTCCTGTTGATTTCTGTAGCTCTCTATTCTGGAAACACACCCTTTGTTGGCTGTTCATGTTATAAATATCTTTTTTTCACTCTGGATTGCCTTTTCATTCTCTTAATGGTGTCTTCCTGGTGAATGAGAAGTTCTTAACTTTAATACATCAAAAGCGATCGATCTTTTCCTATAGCAGCACACACAACTTTTGTGTCTATTTAAGAACTTTCTGTCTGTCCACTCTATCTTAAAGTGATCTCTCTTGTCTCAGCATTTGAGTGGAGTATACCTCAAGCATACAAAGTATGAAAGAGCAAGATAGCAAGGGAGAGAGTATGAGCTCTAGAGGTGGACAGATAAGAGTGGTCCTGGACAGGTTACTTTACCTTTGGGAGCATTAGTTTCTTTTATCTGTAATCAAAGATACACTATCCACCTTGCACGATGTGTATAAAGCACCTACCACAGTGTTGGCACATAGTAGGCCTTTAGTAAGCAGTGGTAGCAGTGATTATAGTCTCTGAACTCACCTCTCCCCTTGCCCACATGGCCACAACTGCCAAAGCCTCAGGGCTGCTCTGTGAAACACCAATCTGCTGCATTCAAGGACAGCTACATGGCTTCAATTAACTGCCCTCAGCAGGCCAGCAAAGTCTCCCTGTTGTTCACAGGCAGCACCCACCACCAAGGCCCACTATCTCCAACTAGAAATGCAGGCTTGATGCCCAGAGATGCTCTTCTCACAAAGGAAAGTCGTCCTGGGGCTCCCATACGAACGTGATGTCAGCCAAGGTGAAGAATCAAAACGACGTCTCTTTCTGCTCACCGCCAAGCTCCACTGAGCCGGAGTGATTTGGTGTCAAAGGTGACTTGTATGTCCATCTGTGGGTCCCACATTTCGACACAGGGAAGAGAGGCAGCATGATGACATGCACGTGGGTTGGCACAAGTACACAGTAAAGTGCACACCCTGGAGGAGGTGTGTATTGGGGTACACGGGATGTGCGTGCAAACGTGCAACAGTGTATGTCCGCAGGAAGCCGGGACACTCTCCTCAGCCTAAGGTTTTGCTGGAGAGGCCGGATAATTATCTACTCCAACATACCCAGAGCTCCGGGCCTCTTAATGCCCTCTGCCCCACCCTCTAGGCCGCAATCTGTGCTCAGGAAACAGATTCCAGTTCTATGGACCTGGATGGATCTGAATGAGGAAGGAGCATCTACTGCAAATTCTTTAAGCAACTGGCAGAGTCTTCTAGATGCTACATCCCACTTCTTAGACCACAAGTCTCCAGAAAAGCTTCGTAAGACTTTCCCACAATCCTGAGATATCCCACTGCCCTTCCCAGAGACCCCCCCTCCCCCACCTCACCAGGCTCCACTTCAAATGTGGCCAAGTGCTGAGTGCAGAAAGGACAGAGGGGGGAAGATTGGTACCTGCGCCTAGTGTTTGTCCAGCGGAGTCAAAGGAAAGAACCACTGAATCTGCAACACAAGAGGACAAGTTCATTTCTTTCTCCTTGCTAGAGTTAAAAAGCCAAAAAAAAAAAAAAAAAAAACACAAGCTCCCACTGACTCTGCCCAAACCCTCCCCCATGAGGGAAAATCAACTGGATTGGAACTCAGCTGCATAGACAGCCTCCACAGGCCCATGCCCACCCATCCACTGGGCCAGGAGGCCCTACCGAGCCCAGCCCCTAGCCTCCCACCACTGGGAGGAACGTCTCAGGGCAGAGACAGGCCTCGAATTCTTCACAGGCATTTCCTGCAAAACTAGGGGACAAATTTACTTTTTTTCCCCCTTCTTATAATGAAAATAAAATTAAAACAATGCAAAAGAAAACTCTTCTGCAGCTGGTTAAAGGCACTAACATTTCCCTTTGACTTCTCCCTTTCTTTTCCTACTCATATACCCAATTTGTTTATTATTTCTTCCCCAGAAGGGCTTAAAATGGCCTACAGGAATTTACAGGACACACTGGAATTTTTTAAAAAATGAAGAAGTCAAGAAAGGAAAAATATTACATAGTCCGGGGAATGTTAGTGCACAAAACGCATGCCATGAGGACCTGTGCATATGCCACAGGTGGAATCAAGAAGGCCTGAGCTCCCAAACTGCCAAAGAAAAGGAGAAAATGAACAGTCACAAGATTTAGTACCCACAGCACATTCATTCATTTGACCAGTCAGCAAATATTTATTGGGCATGACAATATGCTATGACTTTGACTTTGAGATACAGCCACAAACAAAAGGGCATGGTCTCTACCCTCACAGGTCTCCCTGACATCAGTCTAAGAGACAAAAAAAAAAAAAAAAAAAAAAGTTACCAAACAACAAATCACCCAACTAAAAATTGTCTGAGTGAAACAGAGTGCTTTGAATATCTCTATTAAGAATCAGACCGAGGGACACCTGGGTGGCTCAGTCAGTTAAGCGTCTGACTTCAGCTCAGGCCATGATCTCACGGTTTGTGAGTTCAAGCCCCGCATCAGGCTCTGTGCTGACAGCTCAGAGCCTGGAGCCTGCTTCGGATTCTGTGTCTCCCTCTCTCTCTGCCCCTCCCCTGCTCGCACTGTATCTCTCTCTCAAAAAATAAATGAACATTAAAAGAAATGAAAAAAAAAAAAAAGAATCAGACCGAGTTTGGAAGGGGACTGGGGGCTGGTTAGGGAAGGCTTCCCTGAAGAAGTGACACCTGGACTAACAGCTGAGGGATAAGTGAGGGTTAAACCCCACAAACCCCTGGAATGAGGCATTCCAGGTAGAGAGAATACCTGTGTGGAGACCTGAAGGGTGATGCAGCAGGGTGCTTCGGGGCGACTATAAGACCAAAATATAAAAGCAAATATGAAACAGTCATCAGGAAGAAATTTCTCCTGTGGGCCCTAATAATAAAAGGGGATCCTATATGACGCTAAAGACTGTAACTTCTACAACATTTCTATAATACATAAGCGTGACTCTTGTATGGCTATTTCTTACAATGCGAGCTCATACAAAATGATGGAATAAAGCCAATGCATAATTCAATAAAAGCTATTATAAGGAACACTGAGATAAGGCCCAAGATAACCCCAGAAACCCCAGACTCAAACGGGATCATATTCAAAAGGCTCACTCACCACCAAGGAAAGCCAGCTGGATGTATATAGGACCAGGGTCTATAGCCACACCCCCACCCCAGCCATATCCTCTGACCTCAGGCTGAGGTCATTTTCTCTTACTGCACAAGGAAACCCAACACATGATAAATCATTATCATAACTGTACATAATATCTGTCCCCACTGCTGGACTATCAGCTCCACGAGGGCAGACACTATACCTGCTTTATTCCCTGGCACATTACCAGCAGAACACCGGGAAGTAACCATCTGCTGAAGGGCCCGACCGTGGCTCAGTCGGCTGAGCGTCTTACTCTTAATTTCAGGTCGGGTCATGATCCCACAGTTGTGGGATTGAGCCCCGCATCGGGCTCCACGCTGAGCATGGAGCCTGCTTGGGACTCTCTCTCTCTCTCTCTCTCTCAATTTCTCTCTCTCTCTCTCTCTCTCTCTCTCTATCTCCCTCTGCCCCTCTCCCCTGCTTGCAGGCACTCTCTCTCTCTCTCTCTCTAATAAAACAAAAATTTACCCATTTGCTGAATAACAGTACCTAGAGAAGTAAATGGATCACAGATGCTTCATAAATATTATGTCTTAAAACCAAATGTTTACAAAGAACAAGGTGGCAGAGAGCCAACAGATATGGTTTCTGATAAGGGTCCAGAGGCAGACATTCTGTGCTTCCAATTAAGGGCAGATCCATTATGCTGTGAAACCTACCAAGTAGAAGGTAGGGTTGAAGTTTTCTCACAAAGATGCCGAAGCACAGTTAGGACACCAGGCTGATCAGATAGGTGACCGTCCTATCTCGTATGAGATCAAATCAATGTCTCACTTTACAACCTCTTCTTCTTTATCAACATTTCACACATCTGTCTTCTCTCAGTGCTACAGCTCTTCTAGAAGAGAGCCCCTTATTTTTCTCTCTCTTTTTTAAAGAAGCTTTACTGAGGTATAATTTACATACTATAAAATTCATTCATTTTAAATGTACAATTCAGTGATTTTTAGAAAATTTGCAGAGCTATGTAACCATCACCACACGCAATTTTACGACATTTCCATCATTCCAAAAAGATCCCTCATGTCCATTTACAGTCCTGCTCTGCTCTCACCTCCAGCCCCAGGCAACCACTGATTTACTTTCTGTCTCTGTAAATTCCCCTTTCTGGACATCTATCTATCTGCTTTTGTTAGAACTGTTCCATAGCCCCTAACCATACCCCTGCCTCTGATGTGGCCCATTTCCATCATCCTTTATACCACTGATGATCTTTCTTTCTTTCTTTCTTTCTTTCTTTCTTTCTTTCTTTCTTTTTATTTATTTATTTTGAGAGAGAGAGACAGACAGACAGACAGACTGTAAGAGGGGAAGAGAGGGAGAGAGAATCCCAAGCAGGTTCTAAGCCATGAGCCCAGAGCCCAAACTGGGGCTTGAACCCACAAACTGCAAGACCATGACCCAAGCCAAAACAAAGAACCGGATGCCCAACTGACTGAGCCACCCAGGTGCCCCTATACCCCTGATGACCTTATGACCTTTCTAAACAGTATGCCTCACTGTGGCTTTGCTCTTAATTAAAATCCTTCAGAGACCAAAAACCATAAAATACCTAAGAATAAATCTAACCAAAGAGGTGAAAAATCTATACACTGAAAACCAAAGAAAGCTTATGAAAGAAATTGAAGAAGACACAAAAAAAATAGAAAAAGATTCCATGCTCCTGGATAGGAAGAATAAATATTGTTTAAATGTCGATACTACCCAAAGCAATCTACATATTCAATGCAATCCCTATCAAAATTATACCAGCATTCTTCACAGAGCTAGAACAAACAATCCTAAAATTTGTATGGAACCAGAAAAGACCCCGAATAGCCAAAGCACTCTTGAAAAAGAAAACCAAAGCAGGAGGCATCACAATCCCAGACTTCAAGCTGTATTACAAAGCTGTAATCATCAAGACAGTATGGTACTGGCATAAGAACAGACACTCAGATCAATGGAACAGAATAGAGAACCCAGAAATGGATCCACAAACGTATGGCCAACTAATCTTTGACAAAGCAGGAAAGAATATCCAATGGAATAAAGACAGTCTCTTCAGCAAGTGGTGCTGGGAAAACTGGACAGCGACATGCAGAAGAACGAACCTGGACCACTTTCTTACCCCATACACAAACATAAACTCAAAATGGATGAAAGACCTAAATATAAGACAGGAAGCCATCAAAATCCTCGAGGAGAAAGCAGGCAAAAACCTCTTTGATCTTGGCCGCAGCAACTTCTTACTCAACAAGTCTCCACAGGCAAGGGAAACAAAAGCAAAAATGAACTACTGGGACCTCATCAAGATAAAAAAGCTTCTGCATATCAAAGAAACAATCAGCAAAACTAAAAGGCAACCAACAGAATGGGAGAAGATATTTGCAAATGACATATCAGATAAAGGGTTAGTATCCAAAATTTATAAAGAACTTCTCAAACTCAACACCCAAAAAACAAATAATCCAGTGAAGAAATGGGCAAAAGACATGAATAGACACTTCTCCAAAGAAGACATCCAGATGGCCAACCGACACATGAAAAGATGCTCCACATCACTCATCATCAGGGAAATACAAATCAAAACCACAATGAGATACCACCTCACACCTGTCATAATGGCTAACATTAACAACTCAGAAATCAACAGATGTTGGCGAGGATATGGAGAAAGAGGATCTCTTTTGCACTGCTGGTGGGAATGCAAACAGGTGCAGCCACTCTGGAAACAGTATGGAGGTTCCTCAAAAAACTAAAAATAGAACTACCCTATGACCCAGCAATTGCACTACTAGGTATTTATCCAAGGGATACAGGTGTGCTGTTTCAAAGGGACACATGCACCCCCATGTTTATAGCAGCACTACCAATAATAGCCAAAGTATGGAAAGAGCCCAAATGTCCATCGATGGATGAATGGATAAAGAAGATGTGGTATATATATATATATATACAATGGAGTAATACTCAGCAGTCAAAAAGAATGAAATCTTGCCATTTGCAACTACGTGGATGGAACTGGAGGGTATTATGCTAAGTGAAATTAGTCAGAGAAAGACAAATATCATATAACTTCTCTCATATGAGGTCTTTAAGAGACAAAACAGATGAACATAAGGGAAGCGAAACAAAATAATATAAAAACAGGAAGGGGGTTAAAACAGAAGAGACTCATGAATATGGAGAACAAACAGAGGGTTACTGTAGGGGGTGTGGGAGGGGGGATGGGCTAAATGAGTAAAGGGCATTAAGGAATCTACTCCTGAAATCATTGTTGCACTATATGCTAATTTGGATGTAAATTAAAAAAATAAAATTAAAAAAAAAGACAAG